CTATTTCAATTAGAAGAGTGGCTTTTCGGACCTCACGGCAAGGAGGTAGTTAATTTGCATAGTTATTGGCAGTCATTCTACGATTCAGTAGATCCACCGACATCGGCGGACGATATTGTGCGAACCATAGGTGATAGCTTGGTTCGTATAGTAGCACATAAGGCACAAGTAGAGCCTGGTCAACCCTTGGAGTTAACGCACTACTTACATAATGATGAATATAAGGGTTTCCTGATAAGTTACCAACTTTCGGATAGTTTGCATAATCGCACGCTTGCTCTTGAAACTCGAATTAGACCAGCGGTGTACGTGAAGTACGCGAAAAATTCAAAATTGGCGAAAAAACTCCGTAATTTCGAAGTTGCGTCTGATTTTGATCTGAAGGAACAAGTGTCTCGTAATTTCGCTAAAATGCTTGGCCCTTTCTCCGAGCCTGTGCTAAGCTTTACACTGGCCGGTACTGCGTCGGCAGCGCAAGATGATGCTGCACATTCGTATAATCTAACGCTGCTATGGATTGACCCCGTTGGCCGATTGCAGGATTTCAACGAACTGCACATAGAAGACTCACAGGCGGACGCAATAAATTACTCGAAAGCTGTTCTGAAACATCCAATAATGCCAGGCATATGGACAACCAAGTTAATCGGTCGCACCGCTATATATGCCCAAACTAAATTTCTTGTAGTTCCATTAGCTGTAGCAGCTGGTAAGCCTATCAAGCCAGAGAGAGCAAGGATAGTGAATGGTGGTTCTGAGCCATCATTAGCCGGAACTTTTGAAATACCAGCCGAATGGCGTCAGTATTTGCCAACACCCTTGGACGATCAGCGACTTAATAATGAATTCAAAAAGGCCCAACGAAGTGGGAAGGACCTCAAAACTTGGGTGGACGATCTGGTGGTTAAATTCTTCTTCTTGCGTGAAACGTGTGCAGTGGAAGAGAATGCGCTACAAATGAAACTCTCAGCACATGAGGCGTTGCATTTATGTCGGGGGACACCTTGGAGCTCTCTGGCACCCGATCCAAAAAGTGATGTTTATGCTTTGCTCAAAAGTTGATGAAAGTATTTGTTTATGTTATTATAAGTTGTTTTTACATGTTTAGTATTTTGCATTTACAGATTTATTTATTACATGGTGCTACAAAAAAAGTCAGGAAAAACTTAGGGCATTTAGGTTTTTGGTAGGGTCGGGTACAACATGAAAATAGGTTTCTTATATTTAGCTCCAGAAATCTCCTTTTTTATTAAAAAAAATTCTTACTTTCGCTAATGCATATAGTAACAGCTTGATAATTTTTCCTCTGATTTTTAAACATCAAACAAGTTAAAAATAGTATAACAGTCTATTGGTAGACTAAGGCCCAATTTCAGACGAGCTATCTAAGCTATTCATTTTTAGATCATATATTTAAACTGCAGTTAAATGGCCAGCCTTTTTCTTATTTGGCGCTGTAACTGCCTAAGCGATTTGGCAGAGTTCACAAAGCACGCCAGTCGTTTCTCTTCTGCGCCAACTGACGCCAATTGGAAATGCCAAGTGAAGCCAAGTCCCTCTGCATTTGGTCTTTCCATCACAGTGGGGGTCTCCCTCTTCCTCTGCTACTACCAACGGGTTCCGAGTTGAATACTTTCAGAACTGGAGCGTCGGAGTCCATTCTTACGACATGGCCAAGCCAGGGCAGCCACTGTATTTTAATTCGCTGCACTGAGCCTTTGTCGTTGTAAGCTCATACAGCTCATCTGTCCATCGTCTGCGGTAGTCGCCACTGCGTAAAGGCCCGTAAATCTTCCGCAAAATCTCTCTCGAATACTCCAAGAGCCAACCTCGCCCAGATCGACTAGTCTCTCAGTTGTTGTTGTAGCGGCTACAACAACCCTGCCTAGATCGGTTGATATCTCAGTCGTTGTCGTCAAGTTCCACTAACGGCAGCCCTAAGAGGCGTGCAGTCTCCACTGGGTCGGTCCACAGGGACAAAGCCGTTAGGGTTGGCGGGTTTTGCGGGCATGCGAAGAGATGTTTCGAGTCGTGAAGGGTCTCTCCGCATGCCGGACACACATTTGGCACATCCGCGTTTAGTCTGCTCAGGTATGAGTTTAACCTGCTCCAGTAGCCAGAGCGAAGTTGGGCTATTGTGGTTCTTGTCTCCCGAGTCAGATGAAGCTCCGGCGCGTCAATGTCCGGTGGTTGTGTGCCTAGAACGGTATTCACAGGTCTGGAGTCTACATAACTCTAGACTGACTCCCTGTGAATGCCGTTCAGGGCCTGTCGTTATGCTGACGGGTCCAGAGGCTGCTTAATGAACCTCTGGATTTCGTCCGTCAGTTCGTATAGATGCCTCCTGACGTGCCTAGGCGAGGGCTCCTCTGCAAGCAGCTGTCTGTTTGGGTGGCCAAATCTGTGGCTCCCAATCAGAAACTGCTTGCAGAGTATTATGTTATGCTCCTTGACTGGGCGCATTTTCGCCTCGTCATGAGGGTGGTGTTCTGGCGACATCAGGAGGCATCCAGTCGCTGTCCTGAGTGCGGTGTTTTGTGTTGTCTGTAGCTTCATCCACTGCGTCCTACTAGTCCCCGGCGACCAAGCTGGTGCTGCGTAGTTTAAAACCGGCCGGCCTATTGCCTTGTATGTTGCCAGCAACGTTTCTTTGTCTTTGCCCCAAGTACTGCCGGCTAGCGACTTGAGGACGTTGTTGCGGCTCTGTACTTTATTGACAATAGCGGTTGCGTGCGCAGAGAAGGAGAGCAGGCTGTCGAATGTTACTCCGAGTATTTTGGGGTTATTCACCGTCGGAATTGGTGTATCATTGACGGGAATTCCCAGCGGTAGCCTGACCTCCTTCGTTCAGGTGGTGAACAAGGTCCCAGAGGATTTCGTAGGGGAGCGGGCTAGACACTTTGCAGTGAAGAAGCGTGACAGCTCGGAGAGATACCCGTTTACTTTCGAACACAAGTCATCAATTCCATTCCCAGTCGCCATGATCGAGCAATCGTCGGCGTAAGAGACAATCGAGACTCCCTCTGGTGGTTGAAGGAGCTTTGAAATATAAAAGTTGAGCAGTAGCGGGGAAAGGACACCACCCTGTGGAATCCCCTGTTTTAGTTTCCTGAGTTTACTCTCTCTCTAAACATTACCGACGAGTGTCGACCACTCAGATAATTTGCCGACCACCGTTTGAGGCTCTGTGGGAGGGAGGAAGCCTCTATGTCTTTTAGTAGCGTGAAATGGCTGACAGTGTCAAACGCCTTTGACAAGTCCATCGCTACTAGAATCGTTCTCTCACAAGGGACGGTTACGGTTAAGGCCACGAGTTATCTGAGTGTTTATGGCGTTAAGTGCTGTTGTTGTACTGTGCACTTTACGGAAACCATGCTGATGCTTCGCTGTGTTCAGGTGGTTCGTGATATACGGGAGCAGCAAGGCCTCAAGTGTCTTCGCTACCGGGGAAAGGAGTGTTATCGGTCGATACGAATCTCCTTTGTTGGCGGGTTTCTCCGGTTTGAGCAGTGGTACCACTCTCCCCACCTTCCAGATGTCTGGGATGATGAGAGTGGCTATTGACAAATTGAGGACTTCCGTTAGGAACGCTACTCCCGCAGGACCCAAATTTTTCAGCATCAGCATGCATATTCCGTCGGGACCCATGGCTTTGGAGGTTTTCGCCTTCCCGATGGCCACCTGAACTTCACCGCAAGTGAAAGCAAGGGAGGCACAAGTTGTTGGCAGTTTGTGCGGCCTTCTGGTCGCCCGACGCTTGGCTTTGTCCGCCGGAGGATGCAGTATGAACTGCCGGCTAAAATAGCTCGCGCATCGCTCCGGGTCCGACGAAGCATGGTCGCCGAAAGAAATTTCGGTTCTGTCGTCGTGCTTCGTCGGATTGGACAGTGACCTCACGGTTGACCAAAGCTTACTCACACCAGAGGTGAAGTTACAGGTCTTCAGATGCTCTTCCCACTTCTTCCGCTCATGTACGTTCACTAGTTGCCGAATCTCCGCATTGAGATCCCTGATACGGGGATCTCCGGGATCGGCCTCACGAAGGCTGTCACGCTTATCGGCTAGAACAGCCGCTTCGGCGGGGAAATTTGGACGTGGACATCGTGCCGGTACGAAGCGAGCTGTCACCGAAGTGGACGTCGGTTGGTGTGGGCAGAGCAGCGAAGGTGTTTTCAGTAAATTCCGCGAAGCCTTTCCAATCGGCTTTAGAAACGTTGATATGGGTCCGGTGTTCCGCGGAAGCAAAGTCGCTTGGTTTAGCGATCGAGATGACTATCGGCAGATGGTCGGATCCAAAGTCAGCATAGGTCACCATGATAAGCTGGTTATCAGACCCGCGCTGACTGTTGTTATGTCTGGCAAGCTGCAGCAGCTGCCCATAATCCTAGTGGGTGTGTCGTCGTTCATTGCGCAGAATGTCGAATCGTCTATCTGCTCAGCCAGATGTATTCCCCTACGATCATTTGACAGGCTTGAGTGCCAAAGATCGTGGTGCGCGTTAAAGTCACCAACTACCATACGGTTTTCACCTCTGAGTAGCGCACCTATTTCAAGGTGATATCCTGCCGGATAGCAGGTGACAGGGGGTATGTATACGTTAAATATTTCGAGCTCAACATCGCCTGACCGGATAGCAATACCCTGACATTCTAGGGTGGTATCCCTGCGGTCGATGTCTGCTTCGATAAGACGATACTGCACGGTGTGGTGCGTGATGAACGCTAAGCCACCAACATTATCTCGCTCGCGAACTCGACGGCGCACTTTGTACCCGGCACAATTCAACAATGTTGAATTGCTGTGCAACTTCGTCTCTTGGACCGCAGCTATCAATATACCATGCCTTCCCATGAAGACGGTTATCTCCTCGATCTTGCTATCAAGCCCGTTACAGTTAAATTGAAGGAGCTTCATGTGGTTCGGGAGACGTGTTGTAATTCAGGGTGTGAGAGATGTGTGTGGCTGTGACGCCATTGGCAGTGTGCTGAGGTGGTTGCCGCCCTGTGGTGGTGGTGGGTGGCGTCGCAGTTGAGGTTTGCGACCGTGCAGCGCAGCACGGGCCCTCGAAGTTCATCGTCCAATCTCGCGTGGTGCGCAGACCTGAACATGCTCTAAAGTGGCACCAGCCAAGACAGGTGTTGTACTTGACTAATGTCCCATTACGGAATATTCGGTCTGTCATATCGTGCAGATTGTATGAGGAACCAAGAGTTGTTGGCGGCGGCGTGTGGGGGGTGGTGCGGTTGTGTGTGTTCTGTGGTCTGTCATGGTTGTGGTGCGGTCTATTGTGTTGTTATGTTGGTGTGCTGTGGTGTTTGTGTAGGGCTGCTCAGGTGGACTGCGGTTAGCCGTGGAGGCTGCTCTGTTTGAGCAGCAGGGGGCCACAAACGACGTGGTCCACTGCCGATGTGTCTGTAATCCTGAGCAGACTCTGAGGTGACTCCACCCCTCGCAAGCATTGCACTTGACTAAGGTGGAGTTGTGGTGTAGTCGTCTCTGGCATACTCAGCAGGTGTAGGTTTCTGGCCCTGGGTTTGACTCGATGCCAGTCCTGAGCAGAAGAAAACGTACTGAATGTAGCCCTATGGACGAACAATTTCTGAGATACTTCGCCGACCTAAACGGGGTTGGATCGCCGAAACAACAGCCCTTGGTCGGGTGAAACTCGAGTCATTCCGGTACGTAGAACCGGCTGTCGTGGGAATGACCAAAGGGTATTGTTATGTGTTAGTGTGTTTATGTTGTGTGTTTGGATATGTTTGAAGTAGATCAAGTACTAGTATGAGTTAAAATCCAACAAGCACGCCAGGCATTTACTTGCTTGTTTCGAACCAAGCCTAGTGAATACAAGTAAGCTTTCAAGTAGCTTGCTGCAGTACACTGGTATGCACCTTATCAACTCCTCGCCGCCGTACTTGAATAGCTCAGCTGGCAGGCTGTCAGCTCCAGCAGCTTTGTTGCTTTTCAAGCGCGCTATTGCTATTCGTACCTCGCCATAGTGAGGTGGTGGAACATCGACTCCGTCATGATCGACTGGGGGCTCGATTTCGTCTTCTCCACAG